TGCTGCCTGTCCTCCTTAATGTCCTCTCCTGGCATTTGTTGCAATTTTTTTTAGCCCTGTTGGTCCATGGCTAGTACGCTGGGTGTTTCAGGCTTCTTTTGTTTTTATCACTATATTTGGATTTGGGAATGTTTCTCCCCAGGAGCAGATCTGACCAAGAGGGAATTCTGCCCCATGATGGAAGAACACAAAACTACATTTCAAAACGTTTTAAAGCAAGACCGGGTAAGAATTCCAGTGACAATGAAACACAGAACTGCTTTGGCTGAGCAGTGACAAAGAAAAATACTGCGGGAGGGGACAGGCCCCTCCAGTGGTGGTGTGGCTGTTCCCTTGCTATAAATACTCTCTGATATGCCTTTAGGAGGTGGGCCAGGAAAAGAAAAATAACAAAGAGCAGAGGGAGGAAGCACCAGCTGTGGTTCCCAGTAGGAAAGGTAAGAGCTTTTTGCTGAACATGTTTGTGTAACTCACTGGAGCACATGCCTTGGCCACCTGGGTGAACAGCTGTATAAAGAGGTGCAGAGCGCTGCCTGCCCCACATCAATATTATGAGGGGCTTTTGTTTTAAGGAGTAGTAGCTGCAGTTAGACATCAAAGTGGATTAGCACTAGAGAGAAGGAAAATGTTATCGTGGAAAATCTGCTTCTCTGATTTCTACAGATACTGATATAACCAGCTCCATCCTCCTCTAGACAGGAGGGAAAATTCCTTAGAAGTTGTGAAGGAGTTGTTTGGATATTTGAAACAACTCTGGCATGCCTGCTCTCCCCAAAGACGTACAAAGCAGCATCCTCTATGCTAGCTAGAGCTTAGGATAATACAATATAGATAAGCAGGATGGTCTTTCTACTGAACTGCGCTTACATATTGCCACTGTTCTAGTCACCTCACCTTTTGCCTTTGGAGTTAGCTAAAAGCTAGTGATGTAGTAAGTCACATAACATCCTGAACCTGTGTGCTGGGTACTTCAGCCCAAACTTATTAACCATTCCCACATTAATTAGATGCCAGTTGAAGGCAACTAAACAACTAATTTTTGGGACTTTAGACAAGTGACAGTGCTGTGCTGTCTTACTGATGCTCTAACCCTAATATACTGAGGTACACAAATTGTTTATTGGCAAGAGCTTAACACTGGAAATCTTTAACAGTGGCTTCTGTTGAAGCTTAAAAGACTCACAAGCTGGTTTTGGGAGGCTTTTTTTTCACTTTTGTTTGAGAACTTTTTTTTCCTCTCTTCTCAGGGAGTTCACCCACTGCAGGTGGCATTAAAGGAGATAAAACAAAGCAAAATGAGCCGTAAGTGTTCTGACTTTCAATGATCACCTGCAGGTATGAATTTAAAGCTGCAGTCTGTTACATGATTGCTTCTTATCCTACAGTGACTCCCCTAATGAGAAAGAAGTGGAGGTAAGTCTCGACTGCTTGTATCCTTAAGTATCTCGGACAACAGAAAGATCTTGTAGATAAGCCCTGATTAATAACTTGTCCTATGTAGAAGAATGGTGCTGAGTAGCTTAAACTGGATGTATTTCTGTAAGTTGGCTCCTGAAATTTGTCTTTCCAAGCCCAATGGAAATTTTGGAAGGGATGGGATGGGAAAAGGTGGAAATCTGTAAAACTGAACAAAACGTTTGTCACTACTGAAACATTTGTTTGCAAGCTTGAAGGAGCATAGCTGTGACCTCCTCCCAGGCAGAGTGTGCTAATTTAAGACGGTTTTGTCAAGACACAGATGGCACACTGCATGCTGCCAGGATATCACCTATTCTGGCTGCAGATTACTTCCCCCATCACTACAGGCAGGAAGACTGGCTTTGGGGAATTGGGCCATGTTTGCTTTCTCTTCTGTATCTCTTGTATAACTTTTGTTCATGGGGTATAGTCCTAAATGCCATGTCAGTATCCAAATCTACTTTAAAAACTTCTGCATTGCTTGGTTTATTCTGAAATCTTTTCCTCTCCCATAACAGGCTGAATTTCTGAGGTTGTCTTTAGGTTTTAAATGTGACTTGTTTACCTTGGACAAGAGAGTGAGACTTGAAGAAAGGTCCCGAGACTTGGCTGAAGAAAATTTAAAAAAGGAGATCACAAATGCTCTAAAGATGTTAGAGGTTAGTATTGGCCAAGGCTGGTAGATTGGATGGGGTGAATGGTTGTGAAAGTGTCTCTCAATACGGCTTTTTATGATGTGTGTGTGTAATACATTATATACAAATCTGAACAGAGTTCTTAAGTGATGCAGTTGAAATATGGGAGACTTAGCATTTGAGGGGCAACCTTCATTTGAGTGTACCGTGTGCTCGGGCAATGGGGGATTTTTCTATTGTGCAAATATCTGGCAAGAACCCCTGTCTTCAGTTGATTTTATGCTAGGTAATCTGAAGTCTCTGCATACTAGAGGTCTGTATTCAAGTTACGTTGGATGCTGGTGACTGTGTGGGCCTGAACACAACTCCTCAGTGTCACTAGTTGGGTTCACCTTTCTCTCTCTAATAATAGCTCACACTGGTTTTCTTACTGATATGGTTTTTAGGCTTTAGTTCCTCTGTGTGAAGAAGATAATCAAGCACAGGAGATCATTAAGAAGTTGCAGAAAAGCTTGCAGTTCCTTAGCCAGTACGCAGCCCGAGTTGCCAGTAGAGCAGAGATGTTGGGAGCTATTAACCAGGTAACTGTTTCCATGTAAATGTATTTTGTACAAAGTTAAAAGCTTCTAGATGTAAAGGGATAGCAGCATCTGTTTGCTAGGTTTCTGGTTTGAGAATTAGACTTGAGAATCTTGTGTATGTAATGCAGACTGACTGGTACAGCTTAGTCCTGGCTTTCTCTTCTCAGATCCTTGTTTGTGTTGTTATAAGGTACCCCAGACACTGACAGCAACTACATTGCACTAGCATTGTGCAAAAACATGCATCAGAAATATGGTCCTGATTTTAAAACAAAAAACCCCCCACAAAAATCCAAAAAGTCATTTGCAGCAGAGGGATCTATACAGTAGGGAGCACAAGAATGCAATGTGGTAACAGTAGTCTTCATGTTCTAATGGTATCTGTTCTTTATGGAAAGGGCAGCTAATAAGCTAAATGCATGGAAATTTACAGAGACCTGCTCAAATGTTATGTGTAATTGTGTATAACGCCAAAGAACAGCACAAAAATATGACTTGGCAATACTAGCAAATGCGTGGTGGCAGCTGAGACTGTAGATCAGAGAAGAGGAGGAGCTGTAAGGGCTCAGAAAATGAAGATGAATTTATTTTAGGGTAAGAGTAATCAGTGGAGAAATGAGACCTACGTAACTTAGGCACGTGTTGGGAGATGGGTTGTAGTGAAACTTTTTGAAAGGGTGGACAAAAATGAGAGGATGCTGTATCAGTGATACAAGATGAGAGTAGATGGTTAAGGGGTGGTGTGTGTGGGGAAGTCTTAAACTCTAAATGTGATGCAGTTCCTCAAAGAGCTGCTTCTTTTTTCTGCTGCTGTTGCACTTGCTCTGTCAGGAGAGCCGTGTCAGCAAGGCTGTGGAAGTAATGATTCAACATGTGGAAAACCTGAAGCGCATGTACGCAAAAGAACATGCAGAACTCGAGGAGCTGAAACAGGTCCTGCTCCAGAATGAGAGATCCTTTAGTTCTCCTGGAGATCGAGGTAACGAATAAAAGCTGCTTCATCTTTCCTCTTTCTAGCACCTGCCAGACAGACCCTTAAAGTTGAAGCATAACATCTTAGGTGGAGGGGTTATATGACTGTTGTATCTCCTTTCCTAAAAATAGAGGAAAAATTAGTTAATTTACTGACAGTATTAGAAACAACTCTCTGAAGTTAGGCTTGTATGTAAACTGTTACAAGTCTCAGGGTGGAGGGAAACTTTGCAAGTATGCAGTAAAGTTCTGGCTTTTAGAAAAGAGCATTGGATGTAGTGGTGATAATCTTACTCCTTGTGAGCAGTAAATTTGGGTGCTCACTCACACTGGAGTATTCCCAGTAGCTATTTCTAGGTAGCTGAGCTTTGACTGCTCTCTACAGAGCTCTTTTCTAAATACAAATTACAGACTCCTTAAGCGCAGGTGCTCTGAATTTTGCCCTCTAAGCAGATGGTACAGCAGTCAGGTTTTCAGGTGGCACTGTGCACTTATGGCTTTGTTTTTCAGCAGAATTTAATATTTCTCTGGCAGAGCACATATTTTTAAAAACACAAAAGGTAGTCTTACACACCAGTAAAATCCTTGCAGGAGCTTTCTGAATCACAGGCTATTCCTGACTGTAAAAGATTGTTCTGTAACAGGACGCTGCCTCTATAATAGAAGAATGCATTTAATGGTAGCAACAGAAATTGATGCTTGTAGAGGACGTAAATGTGTGAATATTATGAACCTATCTAATGAAATAGAAATCTTTTTTCTGAAATCTCATTTCTGCTTTCTCTGAGAGTACTGATACAGTCTTTGCTTAAATAGATACTGCAAAAAGTCAGACCTTTAGTTGCAAATAAAGCTCACTACATTCCTGTAAGCCTTTCTGATGTTTGATTTCTTCACAGATGAATCTACGAATAAAAAGCTACCAAATTCTTTTAACTTTAAGGTAATGGCCCTTACAGCCTATCAGGAAATTTCAAATGTGTTTTTTTAAATGTGTGTATGTGTTTTTCTTTGCTTTGTCATGTCCTGGAGCTCTGGTACATGCTTGATTTGTGTGGTTTTCTGTCTCAAATATGGACTGATGTCATCAAACATGAGGATATATTTTTCAGTCACTCCCACCTCCCCCCACCAACCCAAGGGAACTGCATGTGGTCCCACTTAGAAGATGAAGTATTCACAGAAGCTGATGGCTGTGCTCTCATGCAGAGGTTAAGAAATACTGTTCATGTGTGGTTCTATCATAGGGGTTAATAGGGGTTACAGAAGAAGGGTTTAGCACAGAAAGAGGAAGAAAAAAAAAATAGGTGGGAGCAATTCAAATTGACTTGTAGGAATTCCTAATGGTGCTCACAGGGAATTTAGACACGTTCAGTTTTGGTATTTTGCTGGAAGTTGTGCAGCCAGCCTTGCTTCAGATGCTTAGGCAGGGGGAAAAAGCAGTTAATGTGGAAAAATGCTGCTTTAAAGAATTTAGTTTGGGCCGTGCTTATGATTTGATTCTTCTTTGTGTGTCACTTCAATCTAAGTATCGACATCTATTTTTTAATGTATTTTGTATAAAAACAGATGGTATTTTATGTGATCAGTGAGTAATCCAGTCATTCCTTGATAGAGTCAGTAATGCCTCTTATTTGTATAGCCATCATCATCCCTACGAAGAGTTAGCATTGCAACATTGCCTAGGAGCGCTGGAAATGCAGGTATTGGGTTGCCGCTGGTAAGTAAGGGTTCCCAGGTGGTGAGGCGCTTTACCTTCTCAAAACTGACTGGGCTGAAGCGTAAAAATGCCAATGCAGTAAGTGTGTCAAACTTCTTCTCTAGGCCCAGCTCCATGAACCTGATGGAGATGAACGGAGTGATAAATTTAACAGGAGATCAAGCAGTTGGTAAAGTTACTTGGGCTTGTCTTTAAGTAGGGTTAAATATTTGTCAACTCTAACTGTGCCTCTATTAAGCAGCTTATGGAACATCTTAAGGTATAATAATGTTTAGGCTACACCTTTCACATTAGTCTTACATGCTTCACTATAGTTGCAACTCTTTTTTTGTTTTGGTTTTTTTTGTTTGTTTTTATTTAAAGGATGAGAGTTTTAAAAATTACCTTGACTTTCTTGCTTTAAAACTAAAATATGAAATCTAGGCAGCTGACATTGATGGATCTGGTTTTTTGGAGTGGTGTGGTTTTTTTTGTTTGGTTTTTTTAAAAAAAAATATTAATTTCAGGCAAATATTTTTGAAACTTATTTGTCTAAGGCCTACCCAAATGAGTAGGCTGCTACTGAATTTCTAATTTCCTGCTATGTATCTGATGGGGGAATTAAGACAACTTTGTTTAAAATATGACAGGGGACGACTAGGAGCAAAGCAAAATGAGAAGCGTCCTTCACTACAGCGGTTCATTAGCACGTATTCCTGGGCAGAGTACGAAGATGAACATTCTGAAACAAAGTAAGTTCAACAGCAACCTCCTCTGAGGTGTGTGTGCAGGGGTGGTCAGTTTGTTCTTAACGAACTCTTAACTGCCCACCACCTGGTCAGGGCTATAAAGTCAAGCTATTGTGAGCTCTGTCAAATTGAATGCTTGATGGAAAAGCTTTGGAACTGTTGATGTTTGCTTACAGAAACGAGCAGTCGGAATCACCTGCTGAAGTACAAGAAGAGCCATCCAGGAAGGAAAGTATCTCTGAAAAAGGAAAACATTCATCAAAATGGAACCTAGAGTCAGTGTAAGTTTTCTCACATTGTGAGGCAAAGCAATGTTTGGGTGCCAGATATGGGAAGAGGAAGCAAAGCTGTCGCTTTGGTTTGGCTGTTAATGTCTGCTGCTTAAACAAAACCAACTGGGAATGAGTAATCTCAAGTGCCAGAAACTTGCCCCACCAGGGATTTGTTACTGATCCTAAATGGTGAGGTAAAGAGGAGCCTCATGCTGTGATCCCACCTCTTTTGGTTACTCTCTGACAGCTAGGCTATTAGGCCGTGCTAACATGTACTCTGGTAAAAATGATCAAGGATTTGAGGCCTGTGGGAAAACTTACCAGCAGCTTTGGCACACACTGTGATGTAAGTAGTTATCAAGACTAACTCCAGACTATTCCAACTAACTGCTCTGAATATCTTAAGTCACGGAAGAGACTGACATCCTAAACAAGCACCCCTTGGAAAGGAGGTCTGCTGTCTCTGCAGAGAAACTGTGTATTCCATAGGAATATACAACGCTGAGCATTCCTGACCAAGGGGGAGACAAGACAATTAGGTTAGTGTGTAAACTGAGAAGACAGCAAGAATAAATATAATTATTTTCTGTTGGTTGATAAAGGATGGAGGTACCCAATGTCATGAGAGGTCTAGGATTTGGATAGACAGTGAGGGTAAGACTTCTCCCCAACCTCAAGGCAGGCACCAAACCCTAAAAAACAGTAAAACGTAAGGCCAGCACTTTCAGTGCTTTCTACAAGCAAGATTTCTTGATGATCTGCAAGGCAGCTTTTGTGAAGCCTCTTCAGAAAGTGTGTGGTACAGGGAGCATGGATGGACTTAAGAGTTGGATCAGTCACCTAAATAGCTTATCAAGAACTTGCTTGCTTGAAGTCTGCGTTTTAAACCAGAACGTAAGCAACCACTGTACATAGCTCCCAATGCAGTAACAACTTTGTCGCTTTTGACAGTTAAGGATCTGTATGTTTGTTTGTGGGGTCTGGTTTGCTTTAGGGTTTTTTGGGGTGGGGGAGTGGTGTGGGAAGAGGGTTTCCAAGTTTTGAAGAAAAACTGAACCACTCTATGACTTACTCTTCTGTGCAGGTGCAATTTAATGTCATCGTGGGCATCCCATTTCAAGACTTCCTTTTCCAACGCTAACAAAACTCTTTGGGTTTCTGTTTCCATCCTGGTACTGCTTGCTGCTCTTACAAGCTTCCTCACTGGGCTGTCGCTTCAAAGACCAGCAGATGCAGCACCTGTAGGAACTGGGGACTCCTGGACTTCACTACAGCAACTGTTGTGGCCATATACAGGACTTCAACACAATGGACCACCCCCAGTATAACAAAGGTTCTGACTGTTGTAATTATACTTCCAAGTTCTGGATGACAGTATAAGAAGCTGAGATAGTACATTTAAGGTTACATGTTTGGGGTTGGTTTTGTTGGGGTATAGGTGTATTTTGGGAAGATGATTTTTTTTTTAAAGCATGACTTGAAATTGAAATTTTTTTTCCCCATTCTGACAGAAGTAATCTTTACAAGTACCTAAAAGTCTCAGCTCTGTTCAGGTTTACAATAAAACAGTTAGTAATTTTGAACATAGCTAACAATAAATATGACTAAATGGTCTAGCCACAAGAGAATAAACAACTTATTTTGCTTTAACAAAAATAAAATGTTTGCGTTTTAGTCACTGAAGCCGTTTCACTGATTTGAAAAAGATTTAAGACTCAATAACTTTATTGAAAGTTTTAAAGGATGCAGTATTTAAGAGTATGTTAAAAGTCTTGTAGCAAGGAGTAGCTGATATACAACATCAATAAACAGGAAGCTAGCTGTTTCTACTTTATCAATTGCTTCTTTGCTGGCAAAGTCCTTAAGCATATGGTAGAGTGTGGAATGAAATTCAGAATCTTCTTCTAGCTCTTCTGAAAAAGCTTCACTGGTTTCAGTGATCTTGAGCTTTTGTGCTTTCTGACCATTAAACATATAAAGAGACCAGTCTTTGTCTTTGACAGAATCTGCTTTAAGATGCTCACTTACCTATTGCAGAAAAAAACATGCTGTAAGATGAAGCCTGTGACACTGACAAAGTATAAATTCTACTATGAAATTTTAAAGTTTGGTATACTCATGAGTGTAATACAGAAACAAAACCAAGGCACTGCTTTGAACCCCTAAAACAGTATTAGCTCTCTGCCTAAGAGACTGTGTATCAGGTACTGTATCAACACCAGAATCTTCCTACTAGTTTGCCTCTGTAAAATGCTGCTGTTCTCTTTCCCAGGAATCCAGTAGCTAGGTGCAACATGCATCCTCTGTTTTAGTTCTTGTTCCTGGGATTATGTATTAAATGCATGGGACATGCAAGTATTTAGCTTAACTCAAGAGTGGGAAAGCTGCTCAAGACTTCAACAGTATGGAATGTTCTCTATCTACACCCACAACTGGGAGTATTTTTCTGTCTGGGAGAAGTTTTAACCACAAGCATTGATTGATTGATTTTTTTTTTTTTCCAACTGTGAACTAAAACATGTAAGTTGCTTATTCCCTCCTTTACAGTGGGAAACAAATGAAACCCCATATGGACAAGAAGAAATTTCTAGATGTTAGCCATCTGATCTGAAAGTTTTATGATTGTTCAGAGGAGCCCTACAGTAGGATACTTCACGAAAATCAACATCCAGCTATATCATCCCACTAGCTAACCTATCAGTTATACATCCTAGCACATTAGCAAGTGTCTTTGCGAGAGGTGTGTCCCATGAGAGATATCACAAATGCATGAGCTATGAAGCAGGCTCTGAAATTTTACTGATGAACACTGCTAAGTAGCCAACCCCAAATCTTAGTGCAGCAGTTCTAAGAGCACAGGCAGGGGTTGAAGACAATGTTTGAGATGAGTGTAACTTAAAGTCAATTGTTTCTGTCTCTTTAACTGTGATAGAGTTCTATGCTGGTTTTCCCTAGAAGTTTAGTGTAAATCCACAAACCTTGAACACTACTTGCTTGTGACCGGCTTCACCATTCCACTTGCTCCAGGCAAAAGCAAAAGCAGACGCAACCAGTGCCATCTGTTGATAGGCCCTAACTTCTGCTAGAGGAGCCTGTAATGCAAAAATACAGGTTTGGAAAGATATCTCTCCCTCTTGATGACCCTCCCTCCCCCATCGCTCCTGCCCCTTTTCTCTACCCCTCTCCTTCCTGCTATTCCTTCTTAATCCCCTCATCCCCTTTTGTCCCCCACTAGCTCCTTTTATGTCCTGCTACCCCTTGCTGTCCCCTGCCATCCCTCACTGTTGCTCTATCTACCATGATCCCTTGCTCTGGGCTCTATTGCCCTGTCCTCTCTATTTCCAGCCCCACCCACCCTTCAGCCTAATTCCCTCTCTTATACAAAATGTAAGAAAAAGCTTGCTTTAAGCAGAATCCACTGCCTAAGCTGGCAGACCACTTGTACACTTGCCATCTGAGGCTGCACAACAGGTCATCATAATGCAAGAAAATGTTACCCAAGTGAAAAACAGGTGGAAAAACCAACAGGAAATCCATCCACTCTTGCACTCACCTTCTTGTTAGCAGAGACATATTTGTGAGAACACTGTCCTGGGAAAATATTCACACCAGCTTTTTTTAAAACTGCTCTGAGATCAGCCAGACTTCTCCATTTTCCTGTGACATGGGAAAGCACATCTTTCTCTTCCACTACTACTGAAGACAACATACACTGATTACCCTGTTGTACAAAGCAGTGAAAGCAACTTACTGGTCATGAAAGTTATTTTCTGCTTCAGGCATCAAATATTAATATCTAGATACTGCATACATTTCCATTATCTACCACTCTGGGCTGTAAACTTTCATTCTAGGATTTCAGCAATGACACTGGTCTACTGGCCCATGCTCATGCTCCTGCTGACTCTTTTAATATCATGTCTTTTACTCACCTGAGTTATATAGCAATGAGCATATGGCTAATTGTGCATACCTTGAAGCTTTAGCAGGAAGAAGTAGCATTAGTAGTAGGTTGCTTGAAATGCCTTTATTTCTCTTGCTAGAGTTGGGAGGAGAGAGGAACAATTTTTAAGTCTCTAGCTGGTGAAAGAGTCTTGAATTCAGCAAGGTAGCGTCAATATTAAACCATGTGCTTACTGGAACTTTGCAGAACAATCACACAGCTGCTTTCTTCTGACCAGTTCACAGAAAATAACTGAAATTAAATCACCAGTACTGCTCCTTACAGCACTTGGAAAGGAAGAGATCCTCCCTCATTTTCACTAATGCAGACTGAGATTCAAATTGCTCTTGTGGAAGCATCCCAAGTTCTTAAAGGATACTGTAATAGTTTTTTTTTTTTTTAAATCTGCAAATGTTTTATAAAAAAAATTATTTACAGTACCTTAATTTGTATCTGAATTGTTGCAAAGACTGTAGTAACTGTAAGTAATGCTTCATCCATACCCGTAGGTCGCAATTCCCATGCCTGATACGGCATGTTGAGATGAGCATCCTGGAAAAGTGCTATTGTGTAAAAGGCACCCATCTCAAAGGTGATACTCTTTTCTTGTGTTCCATACGTTATGTTGCTGATGCCATCAGTTCTCCACTGTTGGCCTTTACAAAAGAAAAATATACAATACAAAGATGTATATGTAAAGCTTCTGTTTGTGATGTGTGCTGGAGAAGAATTAGTTAGTAACAGCATCCTAGGTTAGCTAATATTCACTCACAGTTAAGATAAAACATTAGGCACAAAATAAAGACTGTTCTCTTCAAGGCAAAAACTCCCCTCATTTTAATTGTCTTTGAGTACATGATTGGGCTAATTTTGACAGGAAAGCTTCTCCTTAATCTCAAAAGAAATGCAAATACTAACATAACTGTCATTTCCTACTTGCCGTATAGCAGTCCACAAGCTCACTTTCAAGAGTAACTTCAAACATCAAACCACTTTAATAGGTTCTACACTTTTTTTTTTCATGAACGTGAAGTCAGAGGTATGCTGTATTTATCTAATAACTAGAACATCACATTTGGTTTTTAACATCTAATTTTCATACTTTAACTTAATACTAATACATGTAGTTAGATGCTAATTTTTGGCTCAAAGTGGACTTTACATGGCTTCACCCTGGCAAAACTTGATTTGTAATATACAGTTGTACTACTGCCAGTTGAATGGTGTGTACTTTTTTCCATTCATATTAAAAAAGCCTCAACAAGCAGTCCATTATCAGCTATGATGCAGAAGCAAAATAGAACCAAACCCCCCTGCCCCGAAACCCCAAATCAATTAACACTGAAGTCCCCAAATTTTTTCTGGGCTATGAATTGGCTGTTATCTTTACAGCTGGATTCTGGAAATGGTCAAATTCAGGTGTAAATTTCATTATACAAACTTAAAATAAATCTATGTCCTAAGTTTGTACCTGCAGGATCCCATCGGGCTATCACAGGATCCTCAAAATACAGCACATTGTCAGAAAGCTTAAGGGTTATCTGTATTGGTGGATGTGTGGCATCTTCAGTCTCTTCTGGGGGATATGGATATGCCTCCAATCCAACATCGAGTACCTTTGGCAAGTTTTTTTTAGTAGCCTACTTTTTTTGTTTTGTTTTTTTTTTCCTTTAAGGCCACCTAATCACCTGCAGAGTTTCCTGACACATCATTTAAAATTCATTAGTATTAATGGTTTGCTAATATTGCACATTTCAACTACAATGTTGAAGACAGCAGAAGGGTGACTGACTTCATGTGCTGTCCATGGCACCCTCAAGGCAGTGCCACACGGCAGGCATAGTCATTTTTAAATAAGAGCCACAGTCTCTTTTGCCTCTCTTTTTACCTGAGAGGCAAAAGCAGATATAATTCCACTTTGTCGACACAGTCTAAAAGGGAATCAAAGAGGTCAGACGAGGCTGGTATTGCTGGACTGTGCACTCAGCTGGGAACAAAGATCCCATGCCTGCTTTCTTAGTATGTATGGGAATTTCACTTATTAAAAGTTTTCAGCTTCATACTAAAGAAGTGTGATATAGGTTAGCGCTGCATCAGGCCCCATGAGTGTGAAAACTATGGCCAATATATTCTAGTCCTCAAACATCTCACAGAGCCTGGAACTGGATCGGCAGTAATTTTGTCACCATCCTCCTTTAAGTAAGTGTACCTTTCACATATGACAACCAAGAACTACTCTCTTTGCTTTTACTTTGGCCAAGGGCATTTTCCAGCACAACGAGCTGTGCTAGCCATGCTGATGAGCGCTGACTGAGCACACACCTCTTTAAGTGCAGGCTGATCTGTTCCCCCCCAGCTGCTCCAACAGTCTGCCAAGTGATTGAA